CCCCAAGATTTGGACTTGCCCATACATCAGGGTATAAGGCATGGAGAACAGCACAGCGGAGTCCACAACAATCCTTTTTTTTTTTTTTTTTTTTTTTTTCCCTGTTTCTTAGGATGTAGAGGAGAAAGAACCGAGTTTCCTGAGTCATAGGAAAGATCTACAGCTATTTCCATAGTGACTTTGAGGTACAACTTGCAGTCCGTTGGGAAACAAAGCACAGAAGAACAGATGGTACCTAGTAAGTCCTAACACGTAAATTTGGCAAGATCTGCTTAATGATTTCAGAAAAAAAACAAAAATGCCTTGTTAGGGGGAGTAATATCTGATAGACGCGGTACCCTTAACCAGACAGGACTCTCTTGGATGAGCCAGCCTGGAAATTGGTGGCATGACTTGACCTCACCCTATTCCTTTGTATGTCAGGACTGGATGACACATCTGAGCAGGAGCAAGACCAATAGACCAACTCAGCCCCAAAATCAGCAAAAATCAGTGGTTATCAGAGGCAGGCATCTGGTTTACAACCCATTAGCATGTGCAGAACATATTCCTCTAAAATCCTTTTGCAACCATGGCTCAGGTGACACGTTGCATCAAACAACTCTGTGTTTAACCCTCCTGGCACAGTGTATCACCCAGTGCCAACAGTGTCATTTAGATTGTGCCTTAAAAATGCAATTATCTCCACTTTCTACCCTCTCCTTGTAGAACTGGCCTCTTGGTATGAGGCCAGCACATGCCAGATGACAGTCTCTGATGGTTTTCGGGAGAAATAGTAAATCGGATGCTTAAAATATTCATGAAAAGCTGTGCTAGACAGGATAGGGCTAGATAGCCCTCATCTTTTCATGGAGAAGCATTCTGCTGACTACACTCAACATTTCCTGAGCCCACGTCCAGCTATCATTGCCATGTCCAAAGTCATGCATCAAGGGAGCCAGTCCTGCTGAGCCTGGAACTCTGCAATTTGCACCAGTTTCTCCAGATTTTGTCTTATCAAGTTTGGGGGTCCCACCAACACTTGTGCCAGAAGGCACAAGGAACAGAAACATTGCTTGAACCTCCTGTAGGATTTGCAGCATCTACTTCTCCACCAATATCAGCGGAGGTCCTTCAAGGAGCTGCAGAAGCTGATGGTGGTGGCTCCACCAGCGAGGAGGTCACCCTGAGCGCTGTGAACAGAGTGTCTCAGAAGGTCCAAATTGCAACAGGATCAGCCCAGTTGCAAACTTGGAGCATGAACACAGCCCCAGGGAGTCAACCCAACGGCGCAGCATGGAAATGAACGGGACCACATCCAAACCCTTGGCACGCACACAGCGACATGGGCTCCTCAAGGTCACTCCGCATCCATCAGGCTGAAATCGGGCGTCGCAGCAAGAAGGACGTGAAGGGGAATCTAAACTCAGCATCTGCTCCGACTGCAGCAAATTGCAGTGCTCAACCTTGTAATCAGTTACACGTCTTGCTGTGCAGAATCTTCTGAGAGTTTGCCTTTTCTTTGACAAAAAGAAAAGAAATAATATGCTTTAGGTTCGAAATCAAAGTTTTCCCAACGCTCCCTGGCTACAACTAAACTCCTTTCAGAAAAAAGCACAACCTAAATGAGGCACTTTGACTAGGATGACTTTTTGGCATTTGCAAATCATAAAGGGTGCCCGTCTGCTTGCCAGTGGCATTTTGATGGGCCTGGCATGTTTTGTTTTTTTTTTTTCCTACTTTATTTCATCTTGCAGAGAGGTTTAAATTTGCTTTGGTTCAAAGAAATCAGAATCACAAGATTTTCCACAAAACAAGAAAAAAAAAACCTGCTTCCTACACACTTCTATTCTGTAGACCCAGAAGACTTTGTGAAGGACCTCGGTCTTGTTTGAAAATTGGTCCCTAAATATTCAAGCTTATTTGGAAGTGCATTGCTGAAAGAATAGGGCAGAAATGTGATATTTGGAAGGGCCCACAAGCTGCAGGGATTTTTTGCACCCTGTTTTGCACAGATGCAGCAGGTGAGAGTCCTCTGGGAAAGCACAGCTTGCTGAACATGGGAAGGAGGAAGGGAAACCTCCATTCCTCTGGGCTTAATTCCAAGTCTGGCTTTTGATTAGCAATACCTAGTGCCGGCCATAAGTAGAAATGAAAAGTGAGCATGAAAATGGGCCATTGCAGGAGGAAATTCCTCTTCTGTTCTCTCTGGAGGAGTCTTAACATTCCCTGTTTGCTCTTCCCTTTGGTCCCAGCTCCAGCTCCTTCTCACTAGACCTCGAGACAAAATTTACGTCCAAGGTTCTTGGAGGTTGGGCCAGCGTGGTGGGATCACGTTCATGGAGTTAATGAGAAAGCTCCATCAGCAAGGGCTTTGCTGAGCTACACACAAAGCTTGGGGTACCCTTGGCCTCCAAACACTAATGCAGGAGCTGCCAGGGGTTCCAGGGATTGTTCACGGAAAGGAGTATCGAGTCCTTGAAGGTAACTCAGGAAGACCATGCAAAGGAGGCAGGAGAGGAGAAATTAGGGAAGAAGTAACCCAGGAACAGAGCAGATACAAGGAGGGGAACTGGAGACAGTGGTTGGATTTGCAGTGGGCATCATGAAGACCCAAGCACAACTGAGACAGAGCAAAGCTTTGCAAATAAGAAAAGAAAGTCATATATTGTTTCATATTTATGAAGTTCACCACCAACAACTAGAAAACAAGCACGGAGGAATGTTCCAGTGCAGTAAACTTGGCTGGCCAGGAATCCATGCTGGGAAACCAAAGCCCTGTGAAAAGAGGCCAACTCCAAGGAGAATGAAGCCATCATGGAGCAGTTGGACACCCATCCAGGGACCCTCGCTTTGGCCTTGCCCCAGTGCAGGACACAACCAACCGTGTGGGGCTGGAGGGGCTCAGGGCTCCATGGGGCTCCCGAGGCAAGCGCACGGGTCCCATCTCCCCAACTTCCATCTGAGCCTTGTTCATCTTCTTTTCATGCATACATACATATATATTTAGATATATATGGCCTATAAAATATTAAGTCATGACTGAGATCGCCTGCCAGCAGAAATAGAGCAGCCTCGGCTGCTGCATTTCATTGCATTAACACACGTGCTCAGATCCAGATCTGGGATACTAGAAATAGTAGGGTTTGGGGGGGGGGGTTCCCCACTTTCAGCATCTCCAGCTCAGAAATTCAGTTTTCCTCCAGGCCACTCACAGGTGGGGTCCTGGGCAATGTGCAAGGCAGCAAAGGAAGCCAGGGTTAGGCTAAAGCTGCCTCCAGGCCATGAGAAGTGCTGCATGCCAGGACTCTGGTCTCACACCAGGGACCCTCCTTTAATGCTGGGACCCCTCTTAGATACCAGGACCCCAATCCCATGCCAGGACAGTGGTCCCGTGCTGGGATGCTTATCCTACCTCAAGATCTCATTTCCATGCTAGTCCTGGTCCTGCCTCAGGATCCCTGTCCTAACAAGGGATCCAACTCCCATTCCAAGTCCCCACCAAGAAAAATCATCCATAGATTAGGAAGAGAGAGGTGACTGTGTGTCCTAGTAGGTATTTTCTAGTAGGAAATCTAGGACTCCTAGGAGGTATTTTCCTGCCAGCCTGGTTTGGGTCGCCACCTCTGAACCTCTCCGAGGAGCCGTTTCCCTTCCCTGCTCTCCTAGATTTGTCCTACACGCAGCTTTGTCCTCCTCATCCTGTTAGGGAAGAAAAAAATTACTTCAAATAAGCTTAAAAAAGGTCAAACACGCTTCTTTCTGCGTGGATAGAAGCATCCAAGGCTGGATCTAGCCACAGGTGGGGAAAGGGCAGGCATGAACACGCACCAAGGGGGACCAAGGCTCACCCGGCTGAGGGCGGCATCCACAGCGGTCCAGGCGCCGGGAATGAACGGGCTGTACGCTTGGATTCGTGCACGGAGATTTGGTGACATCTACAGGGCATTTTACCAAGAAGGGAGCCTTGCTGAGAACACGGTTGTGCTCCAGCCCTACGCAGCTCCTATCCGCGCTGCTTCACCCCTGCGGAGAAAAGGAGAGCTTCAGTCCTAGGAAATAAATAAGCCGGCCTTTTTTCCTTTCTCCTGCAAATCTAAGTGCTGCAAAAAGCACTGCAAAAATTTGCTGTTCCAGGGAGTTCAAGACTTAGGGCTCACCGTTTTGGTGGCCCCCATCAGCAGCACCTGCATCTCAGTCTGGATCCAGTGTTATGGAGCACCTAGAACCCTTTTTGGCCTCAATCCTTAAATTTTGGAGACCACCAGGAGCTGAGATAATTTTCCCCCCTGCAAGCCCTTTCCTCCCAGCAGCTCCTGTTGCACGAGGAAGAGGATGAGGCGCTCCAGGTAGAGCCCATCACGCAGGCAGGTCACAATGAGCAATATAAATGACCCTAAAACGTCCATTTGTTTGTGCCAGGTGATATCCGAAGTGTTTTCCCATTAGAAACAGAGCCCAGAGGGAGCCCAGGGCCATCCAGCAGCGAGTGGGATACACAGCAGAGATGTCCCCAGATGTGAAGGTCAAGTTCTGCAGAACCATCAGCAGAACCAGGTCCGCTCAGTGCAGGAGCTGGGTCAGGGACCTCTTCCTCTTTTCAACGGGCTTTTAACAAGCAGCAGGATGTGTGTGTTAACAAGAACTGCTATTTTTATTGCAGGTGGAATCTGCTCTAAGTACTGCTGTCAAGTCTGAACACAGCAGATGTTTTCCTCTGGGGACAAAAATGTTTTCCAACCAAATCCAGGAGGATTCGGGAGTCCACAGGGCCCCTGTTAGAGCAGTGTGGGCCTGGCCAAGCTACCCAACCTGCAAGATCTCAGAGCTCCCCCCAGCAAAGACAGGACACCCGGGGGTCAGGGACCAGTCGTAGCAGCCTGAAGTTCCCCCACCTCCAAACAGACAGAACAAGCAATGATTTCTACCCCATGGGACCATTTTATTATGAAAATAACTCTTACGACCAAACTTTGCCACTTATAAAACACGCCGCAGAGCCTGGAGGACCTGGAAACTGGTGGGACCAGAACAAACCACACATTAGCTGGGCCATGGGAGCCCACTTCCCGAGCGGAATGACAAGAGGTCCTGAGGGTCACTCCCAGCCCAGCTGCTCTGTACGTGGGACATCAGCATCTTCTTTGGCACCAGCCCTTTTGCTCGCAATTTCCTTGCTCGGTCTAGGCCAGTCTAGGTTCAAGCTAATGTGGGTGTGCGTCCTGCTCCCATCAGTAAGGTTGGTCCCAAGGAGGTGTCTGTGAAATGCTCTTCATGAGCCAGCCAGAGTGTCTGTCCCTCTCCTTCGGGCACATTAGGGCTCCCTGGGCTTCTGCCACAGGACAACACGTCCCAACGAGCCCGGAGTTTGGCGGTGCCGGCAAAGGGCGACCTGCAGAGCCCGAGGCTGCGTGTGGGGCTCCTCAGTCCGAGTCGCTTCCGTCCTGCTTCGCTGAGCCGACCGCCGACGCCAGCTCCTCTTCCTGGCCTTTCAACCTCTCTCCTGCAAGGGAGAAGGGAGCAGCTGCTTAGCAAGAGGTTATCCGTGCGGAGGAACCCGTAGGGTGAGGTGGAGGACCTGGAGTGCAGAGCATGAGCCACCCACCAGCAGCACCCCTGCTGAAAAGGGTCTGCTCCTACGGGGACAAACGCCATGTCCCCCCACTGCCCCGGCCACAGCAGGGACCTGCCACATCACACGACGAGGGAGCTCCCTCTCCGTGGATTCAGGGTCGGAGAGGCTCCCTTGCCCTTTTGGGATGGGAACCAGGCTCCAGGAGAAGGGCAGAACCAACCTCCGCCCATTCCCTCCCTTGCACAACGACGAGTTGCCCACGAGGACAGCGTGTAATCCCTCGGGAACAACCGGCAACCCTACAGGCCATTCCCGCGGCACCGTCACGCACGTATCAGCTCGGCGATGGCTCTCTGCGTCCTCTTCTCCAGCTTTTCCAGCTTCTTGGCTACATCCCGCTTTAAATCCCTGCGGAGGAGAACGATAAGGTCACAAATCCTCCTCCAGACAACGGTGGGAATGTGAGGGCCGAGTTGCACCTTCCATAGAGGGGCAGACCAACCCCTTCTCCCTCCTAGAAGGGCACGGAGCAGCGTGTGTCTAACACAGCCCAGCGGCTCTGCCATGGGGGCAGCTCATGGGCAAGCCAACGTGGTGAATGGAGCATCCCTGCTCACCGAGGCCACCACGGTGACAAGCGCCCCAAAGGAACCAGTGTCGCTCACCATAAGAAGGGGAAAGTGGAGAACAGCTCCTGGTCTTGCACCTCCCTCAATGGCAGGACTGGGCTTCCCATCTCGCACCCTCCCAGCCCAACCCTCACCCTTCAAGGAGATGGTTGCACAACCGCTCGTGCTTCCTTCTCAAGGAAGGTCCCTGTGGGCACTCACCAGTCCGGCTTCCTGGGAGCCAGGTTTGCCAGGTCCTAGGGAAGAGCAGGAGACACCCCGTGAGAGCCACAGGCAACGGGGACGCAGGCGGGGATGAAGTGCAGGGCGCCGAACGGCTCCCAGTGTACCTACCACCTCATCGATGATGGGCTCCGGCTTGGCGGCCTCCAGCTGCTCCTTCACCTTGTCTTCCACTAGATGGGGGAACAGGATCAGCGTCAGAGCGGGCTGCTGCAGCAGGACGCACGGACAAGGCAAGTAACCCCCTCCCCAGGGCTCTGGGATGGCTTCGGAAAAGCCTCTAGGGAAGACCCTGCCTTGGGAGCGCAACACGTGCGCACGGAGCAGCACCCACATCCCAGGGCCGGGCTCACGTCAGCTACGAATGACACAAACCCAACCACCAAGCAGCGTGCTGGGCTCACAGCCCCTTCTTTTAAGGTCCTAGAGGTGCCAGGCACATGGCAAAGCCGGGCTCTGCATTCCCTCCTGGGAAGCAGCCTGGCGTTTTCCTGAAGGAGCTGCCTTAGGAAAAGGAGGCAGCTCCTCACTCCGGAGCTCCCTGCTGCGGAGGCCTTGCCTCACGCACAGAAATCGCGACTGCAAGAGCCTAAACCGGCCCTGATCTGACCTAACCTGCTCTAGCACTTCAGGTGGAGATTTGGGATTGCAGCAACCCACAGGCACCAACTTAGCAGTCCCGGCTTTTCACCCCTCCATCGTGGTGCTGGAGGCTCCATACGGAGCAAAGTGTCCCGTGCAAATAGATGCTGAGAGAACGGGACGAGCTTGTGTTGCTCGAGACCCGGGAATTGCATCCAACGAGCAGGGCAGCTCCCGAGAGTCTGGCTTTTACTGCAAACGGCCAAAAAGGCTGTTCCCAATTCCCAGCCCCATGTGGGAGAAGAACAGGAGGAAGTTTAAAACCTTGGCAGAAGGATAAAGAAACTGCCCTGTCAGCATTCCCTCCTGCAGGCGCTTCGCCACCAGGCACAGGCAGCCTTTTTACAGGGCATTTTCAAGGGATCTATCCCAGGAGGACTTCGTATTTCCAGATGAAGGCAAAGCCTCCCCTGGGAGGCAGAGGTTTGGGGTTGGAAAAAGCAGTTTGAACGTCCTGGACTTGCATCTAAGGTTTGTTTAAAGGCAGTTCCAAGAGGAGAACCCAGAGCCCCACAGAATCACAGGATGGTTAAGGTTGGAAGGGACATCTAGAGATCATCTAGTGCAAACTTCCTGCTCCAGTGGGACACCTCCTCGAGCAGCCTCCAGCCCTGCTGCTCAGGCACACACCCCGTTGAGCAACGCAGGCTGTGCAAGGCCCACGGGTGAGGGCGGCCGATGAGGCAAGCGGGGCCTGCCCGGCTGCAAACCCAGCTGCAGAAGGAAAACCAGCAAAAAAAAGAGATGTGGGAGCTGCAGCAAAGCGAGGAGGAGGAGGCTGAAGAGCACGGCTGAGGTTGCACTGCAGCGGGCAGCAGCTCAGAGCTCTGATATCTTCCACACGTTCCTCGTTCTTGCTGTCCCAGCTCTACCGTGTCCAACCCTGCAGCTCCCACCCACCTGAGGCCGGCTTGGCCTGGGGCACCTTCCTCTTCTTCAGCTCCTCGTCCTCGGGCTCGTAGTTCCGCAGCCTGAGCTCCCTGGGAAGGAAGAGGAAGAGCACAAGGCGGTGAGAGGCAGCCGGGGCCAAAGCCCAGAGGGAGCAACCTACAGCTAGACCCACGCTCTGACCTTCATCCCAGCTCCCTTTTAGGTCCAGCTTAACCAAGACAGAAAGGGAGATGCTCCATTAGGAGAAGGCGGCCTCTGAGCTAGGATCACTACACCCCTTGGGACATTTCTTCGCAATAAGAGGTCACCTTTTGCCACAGGGACGGAGCACAGCAACAGGTTGGTGCCAACAGAAGTGCCACAAGCACGGCGGATTGGGGCCAAAAAGACCCCAGGACTTTGGGGGTGGATGGGGCAAAGTCCACGCGTCGGCTCAGCGTGAAAGAGGGCGAAGCTGCTCCCAGAGCTGCTTCTGGAAGGGCTCCAGGCAGGGGTGCGGCGCAAAGCAGCTCGCAGCGGAGCAAGAAATCAGGTTTTTCAGCACGCGGGCGGTGGGGCCGGCGGTGACGGGGACACCCACAAATTCCTGCCTCCGTGCCCTCCTCCCGGGAGCGCCGGGAAGCAGCCCCTCCCTGGGCGCCGGCACTCGCTGCCCCGCGCCAGGGCTCGCCCTGCTCCTGCTCCGTCCCTCGCTAATAATTCAGGCCTCGATTCAGCAAACACAGACCAGAGAAGTTCAGCTTCCAGCGGGGGCATTCCCCAAACCAGAGCCTTAAAGTCAAGGCGCCAGGACCCCATCCCGGCTCCCAGTACTCAGGCATCACAGGCTTTTTTTCTCTCTCCTTTCTTCTTTTCTTTTTTTTCTTTTTCTCTCTCATTTCTTTTTTTTTCTCTTTTTTCCTCTCTCATTTCTTTTTCTCTCTCTTTTTTCTTTCTTTTTTCTTTTTCTCTTATTTCTTCTTTTTTTTCTCTCTCCTTTCTTCTTTCTCCTCTCATTTCTTTTTTCCTTTTTCCTCTCCCATTTCTTTCTCTTTTTTCTCTCATTTTTTTTCTCTCCCATTTCTTTTTCTTTTTCCCTCTCCCATTTTTTTATTTTTCCTTTTTTTTCTTTTTTTCCCCCCCCATTCTTTCTCTTTTTTCCTCTCCCATTTCTTTTTCTCTTTCTTCTTTCTCTCATTTTTCCCCCCTCTTTTTTCTCTCTCCTTTCTTATTTTTTCCCTCTCTCATTTCTTCTTTTTTTCTCTTTTTCTCTCTCCTTTCTTTTTATTTTTTCTCTTTTTTTTCTTTTTTTCAATACAACGTCTATTTAGTGTTGGCAGCACATGACATTTACTATGAATTATTTCAGCCCCAAGCACAGATCCAGGTGACTCCAGCCCCTCTTCATCCCCTTCCATGACCCTATCCTCACTCACCAGGCCCCAAAGCTCCCCACGAGCAGGGTCCACAACCTGAATCTGCCTCCAAAGGGTCCCATTATTTTTCCAACATCTCCGGACTCATATGCACAAACTGGCCTTTATTCAGTGGCTTCACGAGTAGCCTCCGCGCTGCAGGATTTGCAGGGACAGAGAAGCAACCCACTGATCCTCCTGCTTGTTGGAGACATATCCATGAGATTGAAAACCTTCACGTGCATCCTGGCCGGAGCTGCTGCAGATGGCAACAGCAGTGGGACAAGAGCAGAAGCTCCCTGTGAAGCCGGTGCCGTGTGGGTCCCACCGCTGCTTTCACACCCTTATCAACCTCGCACACAAAACTGTGTTGGGAACGTGAGGGAAAAAGAACAAAACAAAAATTGCTCCTTTTAATTAATTGCTGGATGCGAGAGCAGCTCCCACGCGTGCCTCACGGAGCACAGAAGCCTCCCTGGGAGCAGCAGCAGTTGCCTTCATCCCTCCTCCTCTTCTCTCCAGGACTGCAAAGATGCCCAGAGATGCTCCCCCCACAGACCTCCAAGGAGTTAAAAATATATATATATAAGTATTTCTGCATCTATACTTGTTTCTTAAGTTTTACGTATATAAACATAACATATATATGTGTTTTTGTATCCATACGTGCATGCAAAAGCAGAATATGTGCACACAAAAACACATAGAGATATATCCGTGGAAGAAGACACGGCTCAGGCTCCCCGGGAGCGGGTTCAACAAAGTTCAGGTGCCAGCGGTTCCTCTCGCGCCGCGTTCCAGAGAGACAGCCCGGAGGCCTTGGCGGGCGAGGAACTCTCGCCGTTCCCACAACAACGGGAGCGAGGGCGGCTGTCGGCAACAGGCGCCGCGGAGGAGGCGCCGCTCGGAGCGCGGCTCCCCCGGGAGGGCAGGGAGGGCCTTTTCCAGATGATGGTCTTGCCAGGAGGAACAGGCTCCAAGGTAGCTCCGAGCTCCCTCATCCCACGTTTATACAGCAAGGATGGTTGGTACCACCTTGCTGGGACCACCTCATCCTCATCTTCATCCTCTCCAGGGACACACGAGCCCCGCCAGGAGCTCCTGAGAGACCAGCAAGGAGCAACCGGCTCCTCACGTTGGGGAGATGGTCAAGGACAGCTCGGATCTGCTTGTGCTCGCAAACCTGGAGCATCTGGTTAGGGATGGCAGGGACAAGAGCAGGACAGTTGGAAATGTCCTGCAGGGCACGTGCAGAACGGGAAAAGAACGGTGCAAAACAAAGCGCCCAAGACCACGTCCAAGCTTGCTTCTGCCTCGCTCCTCCAGCCTCGAGGGCTTTAGGGACAGACACCGTGTTCCGATCAACGACCGACACTCCAAGTCTCCAGGTGAAGCATCAGCCTGCTGAGGTCCCTTCCAAAGCCCTGGAGAAGAAACGCCATCTGGTTGGAGGATTTAGTGCCCTTCAAGCTTCTCAAGCTGCTGCCGAGCCCCTCTTTGACGGGGCTTTGCTTTTTGTGACAGCCGCTTCGGCTTGCTGGGAACCAAATGTCCTGGACAACGATTTCCACATTGCCCTTGATAAGATAAACCCGTGCGAGGGCTTCATTTCGTCTCTCCGCCTCTCCAAAATCCGCTCACTCCTGGGTGGTCCCGGGAAGCTGTGCTCAAACATGGAAAACGTTACTGTGAAAGGAGACACCAGGGAGGTCCCAAGTCCTGTGAGAAGCAGTGGAGCGGTGGCCTCTTCCCTGCTCCAGGATGTGTCCCATGAAGGCAGCGGGAGCATCGAGAAGGGCTGGAGAACCAGGGACCACAGAGCAGGAGACTTCAGCACCAACGCACGTGGGCTCCTGAGGTTTCCCCCAGTTTTGGTCATTGGGAGGGGGCAGCGCTCGCCCCCGTGCTCCCAAATTCCTCGCTCGGGTTGGAAGGAGAGCAACAAGCGGAGACGCGGAGCCGTTGAGGACATCCCAGCATCCCGCTGCTCCAAGTGCATTGGGGAATGCCGAAGAGCAAGCACGGCCACCTGCTTTCTCCTGAAGGTCTCTCCAAGGAAGGCAGGGAGCAGCTTCTTGATGTCCCCTGCAAGAGGGTGACGGGTGCCCTGAGGTCTCCCAACCCCTCCGAGGTCGCTCCAGCTTCCTCCTTTACGCCCCATCCTCTCCGTTCGCGCCGTAAAGCGGCTCTGATGATTCCTGGACTTGGAGCTGCCTCTAGGTGACCTCAGAGCTGGAGCAAGCACGATTCCTCTGCGCCTCCAGGCCCAGCACCAAGCCCTGCTGTCTCCTCAGCCTACCCAGGGCAGGTTGGGGATCCCAGGGCACCGGCCAAGGCAGCAAGAGCTCCTGCTAGGCAGGAACCAGGAGACTCCAGACCCTGTGGAGAGCTGGGGATCTCCCTGGCTTTCCTGGGGACACATGGGATGAAGGTGCTAATGATAAAAATCATCATTACACAGCGCACCAACCTCCTCCCGTGGAACGCTGATGTCCCCCATGTCACAGCATGTCTTTAATTCCCGGGAGCAAAGGAAGCACGGCTGCACAACGGCTCTCCCTGCTCCCGGCGTGGCTCTTCCACCGGAGCAAATCCAGCAGCAGGGAAAAGGCCAAAGCTCCAGCGTTTCCCCTCCCCTCCCGTGGCTCTGTATTTACATTCAGGGCATTCCTGGCGAGCTTAGCGCGCGCAGAGCCCGACTTCAAAGCCCGACGTCGCCGCCGCGGCCAGAGGTGCCCGGGGCTGCAAATCCCCGGAGGCGACGGCCGCTCTTCCCGAGCGGAGCGGGGCGGAAGGGCCGAAGTCCATCCCCACCCTGCCGGCCGCGGCTCGCCAAGGAGCCGGCGCGGGAGGGAGTTCCTGGTTAAGCCGGGCTTAAAAACAAATAAAGGGAGAAGCACCACGAGTGCCAAGCAGTTAAAATCCTTGGAGGGGGTGGATTTGAGAGCCCCGGAGCTGAAATTGCTGTCAGGCCGTGGTGGTTTTTTCCCCGGAAGGCCCCGTCAGCACTTGGTGCCGCGCAGCACGAGCGAGATAAAAAGCCAGGAGCAAAAAGGGGCCGGGAGGCGAGTGGCGCAAACAGGAAGCCGCCAAAACCAGAGCGAGTTATAAAAGCGGCGCCCGCGGAGCTGCTGCTCGGTGTGAAACGCAGGCCCGGCAGCTCCAGGGCAAAGTCCGGAGAATCCAGGACGAAACCCAGTATTTCCAGGGCATCCCAGGGCGCGTTAAACCCCGCGTCTGATTTCAGCTGCAGGGGAAGGATGCTGGAGAGGCAGCGGGCGGCAAAGCGGCGCCGCAGGGCGCCGGAGCCGCCGGGTTTGCGGCTCGCCGGGCTCGGGTGGCAGCGGGCGCCCGTTGTTCATTATTCATGGTGCCCAAGACGCGGCTCGCGCGGCGCCTTCGGCCCCGACCTCATCCCGGCGATAGGACAACTCGGAGCCGCCGCTACCGTTGTCCGGAACCACTTGTGGGCTAAATCGGGCAGCTCGGGGGCACACGGGCAGCTCGTGCCAGGAGAAATCCCCCAGCAGGAGCAGAACTGAGACATCCAGGGTGGCCAGGGGGTTATTCCACCCACGGTGGCAGTGCCAAGGACACAGGTCTCCTATGGAGGAGGTCACTCCCAGTAGGAGATCACGTCCTGCAATTCCAGAGGGAGCTCCATCCCTCCATCCTTTCCGACTTGGCACTTACCAGTCGGCTGGTGGCAGCCCCAGCTGCACGTTTCAAGTCACTGACACCAAGAGATTAAATTCCCACACACGCAAGCTGATGCACGTTAGGATCCCAGGAAAGATCTTAATTAGCAAGCGAGAGACCGGCACTGGAATAATACATCCGCGGGGGATAAGGGGGAATAAATAAATAATTACTTGTGCCTGACAGGCTCCTCTTCCTCATCTTCTTTGAGCTGCTTCTTCTCATCGTCCTTATTCTGGAAGAGAGAAAAACGGACCTGTGAGGCCTGGGCCTTTCTGGAAATCACCAGGAGCAAATAAAAGCCCTGAGCGGGGCTCTGGGACGGACACACATCCCCACAGTGCTCGGGATCCCCTTTAACCGCCACTTTTCAACGCAGCCCCTTGTCCCTTTTCTCCTCGGAGGTGACGGTGTCGCTGAACCGGAGCGGGGAACGGAGCAAAACGAGACGTGGTCGGCAGCCACGGGCACCTCCACCACGTCCCACATGCAGGGCAGCAATCCCAGCCCAAACCCTGCGCTCCAGGGGACAGAAGGGGCAGATACTGTTATTTTGGCCAAAGGGACCTATAAAGGAAACGCATTTTTGAGCTCGTTAAACCTCCTTGCAAAAGCCCCAGGTGGCACTCGGCACCAAACACATCCGTGCTCGTTTCCCCACACAAACAGGAGCGAGGTGCCAAAAACTATTTGCCAGCAAATCCTATTTCCAGCCCCTGAAAGGATGGGGAAGGTTTCCCAGGGGAGCAGCACCTTTCTCGAGGACCCAACTTTAACCCGGGTTGTAAAACGGTGTTTAAGAAGTAGGTGACGTGCGAGCGGCGTCGAGGCAGGAAGCAGCTCGGCTGCGGTTCAGGCGCGTCCTGCTCTTTGCTCCTGCTAGAATTTAATCTGGGGCGGCTACAGGCAGGTTCTCAAAGGCTAAGAAAAAGAGCACAGGGTAAGAAATAGCCGCGTTCGCCTGTGGCTGCTCCTCCCGTGACAGCACTGTATTTTCTGCATTGCTCCAATTCTTCTTTTCCTCGCAACGTGAAATAATTTGCTATGAGAAGCCTAGCACTCTCCCACAGGTTGAGCCCTCAAGTGCCCCTCTGCCAGGCAGGTTCTGCAGTTCCATGCCCGTTAGCGCCTAAATCTTTTCTGAAGCCCTGGTGACATTGCTAGGAGGAGGAAGAAATAAATACATCCATTCAAATGCATTAACATCAATGTGGTGCAAAAAGCCCCACAATATTTTCAAGCCAACGTTTCTTCTCTGCTGCAGCTCTCCTGGAAACATCCTCCTGGATGCCCACATCACCCTTGGGTAACAGCGGGATGGGTCCCAGAGCCTGCTTTGGGATATCGGAAAGAGCAGGAAACGGTCCCTTCAGCAGCAAGAAAGGGAGGATTCAGGGTAATAAGGATGCAAAACGAAACGTTTGAAGTCAGGTTCCCATGCACAGGGAGAGAAATTAATGCAGGCTCCCCGTCTGCAGCAGGGTCATGAACACGATTTCGGTTTCAGCGGCGGCTCAAACCGGAGCAAGTCCCAGGGCAGGGGCGGCACGTGCCGAAGGGGCCCCAAACCCCAGCGGCGGCCCCGGCTCTGCCCGGCAGCCGTTTGTCACCAATCCCCCCTCAGAAAACAACCCGCGAAGGGGCACGGGGGCGGATTCCGAAGGCGCGGGGCCGGAGCGCTGCTCCGCTTCCGTTTGCGGCAGGAGAGCTCTGCAGCTCCCCCTCCTCCTCCTTCCTGCGCCGGGACGCGCGCGAGGGCAGAAGATAAGAGCGGCTTGCGCTAGAGCTGTGGGGAGGGAGCCGTCCTCACTTGCTCAATAACAAACCCGAGGCTCCGAAGCTGGGTGGTTTTTGCACCCGAGGGCGTCACAGGACGGCCGCGAGGCTCTGGAGAACATCCCTCCCCGTGGTGGACCTCATGACCGTCATCATTTAGCAACACAGAGAGGGTCTCTCAAACGCTCGGCTTATCTCAGGGCTTCGTGTTTCACCCCAGCCTCATCTCTCTGCTCTTTCCAACCACCTGCCCACGCTGGACTCCTCCAGTCACTCAATAACTCACTCGTGGTTCCACCGAGCACCTCGCAACAGCAACGGCCTTGGGGTTCCCTGCTTCACTCGGCCTTCTCGACTCGAGATCTGCCCCTCGTCATCCTCGCCAGACAGCGCTGCGCGAGGGCCCTGTCGCAAGGTGCATTTCGACACCCGGGGAAGGGAGCACCCCTGCCCGACACGCCGCTTGGCCCTGCTCCCGGGTCACCCGCCGAGCGTTTGGGTTCCCATCACATTCCAGCAGTCCGAACGCAACTCTTCCCGCTTTTCGGTTCAGCTTCCTCTTCTCACATCTGAAAAAGCACAGGTCTAATGCCACAGGAGGAGCCCAAAATAGCCCTTTTGCTATTCTGCTCTGGTGTTAGTGATTCCTCTTTTCGGGGCCCCCGTGGCGAGGTGGTTACTGCTGGCTGTAACTCATACGATCGGAGACGCCCAGCTCTAGCCTACAAGACCGTTGGCCAACAACCAGCACACAAAGTTGTTCCCGTCCCTCCGTCTCCTGGAAGCAGATGGCCTAAAGATAAGTTGTCGACGTGGAAAAGCTCCTAGGCTCCTGCTGCTTCATTCTCAGACATCTCAGCTGGCAAAGAGGTCGGAGATGAGAAGAGCCTCAACTGCAGCCCGTTCGAGGCACGCGTCCAAGAAGATTTGCATCCCATTGTTCACGGAAGGGCGTCAGCCTGCAACACCTGCACGGCCCTCAGCAAGCTTGGGAGAGGAGCAGGCAAAAGCCTACGTCCTTGGCCAGGTCTATTCCATGAGCTACACGTCACCCACAAGGTTGCACAACGCGGGCCACAAGCCAAGTTATTTGGTTAGCAGCGCTGCCCTGGGTTGAGTTTCTCCTAGGCAGCATCCAGTAGAGAATACACGCATCCATGCATCATTCAGTCAAGGTGGACAACACAGCTAAGCCCTAACATGCAGCAGGATGGTAGGGAAGAGGGAGGCTGCTGGAGCACCACAAGGTAGAGGAGCAGGCCCAGGTACACAAGTAGCAGCTCTGGTGCATACAGATAACACACTAAAAACGTTCTCCCGGGATTCCCATTCCTTATCCTGACTTCTCTTCCTGCTGGGATCCTGCCCAGGTTGTCACTTTGCATTGCAGCCTAAGCCTGAAAGCCAAAAGGGTCGTTCCGACCCTCTAGTCTGACTTAATGGAAGCACCGGAGATCTGGGAAGTCTCTCCCAGCTCTCCCTACATGGGGTCCATCCACATCAGAGTGGAGCATCATCTCCAAGAAAAGCCAAAGGAGACAATCTGGTCCTTACAGCAGCAGATGGAGGATCCAATGTGCTAAGAGCTTGGCTTGAAACCCACACAATGACAAGGTTTTCTTCCAGCTGCTGGCTCCTGTCATCGTCTGCTATTAAAGAGTGCGTCTGTAGTTGACCAAGACGAGAGCACTGATGGCACAGAGGGAAAATCCACCGGGATGAACTGCCACAATCAGGCGCTGAGGGTTGCTCTCCCTATCCCGCACGCCCGGGGCATCATTTTTGAAGATGCCTTAAAACAAGGATGTTGGAAGAGCAACAAGGATGCTGGAAGAGGGGCTCACCCGGCCATGGGAGGTGGGGAAAAGCCACATCCACCTCATCCTGGGCTCAAATCCAGGGCTCAGCAATGGTCTCATCTCACCTCGTGCCTCCAAAGGGCTCCGTGACCCCGCGCTGCCTCCGGGCTCTGAGTCACCTGGCCACAAGGAAGCGGAAAGTTCACCCACACGTCTCCCAGTGACGGATGGAAACACCGGGTGACAGGTCTCCATGGAGACCTCTGGGCTCTCGGGCACCTTGTCAAGCCCTTCACCTGCTCTCTTGGTGGCAACCACAGCGCTCTCATCTTTAGCCAGGGCGTTGTGCAATAAGAAGCCGTCTCTAAAGGAAATTCAGGTGCCAAGAGTTACTTGGCCACCCTTTTCTTGCTCTTAAGGTAACAAATTGCAAATCAATGTTTTAAGTGTTTTATGCAACATCAACTGACAGCCCAGCTGGCTTCACTCAAGTCACTCCTACCTTTAACAGGGGCATTTAACTCACACCCTTCCAGCCCCTTGGAACTGATGCAGTAATCAGCAAAGATCAAATCAAAACGCAGCGGGCGAACAGCCTCTTCAACTGATTATTTTAGGATTCTGGGGTGCAAATTACCTACAAATGCTGATTGTAAGTGGTTGCGCTCCATGTTTAATATCCTCTCATCGCTGGAAAGTAGCTTGTCATCCCACTTCTTTCCAAACATGCCTGAAGAATCGAATAGTCTTTGTTGCTCTTTTCCTCTCCATCACCTTCTGAAGATTCCTGTCTGAAGAACCGTCTGCTCTCTGAGCAGAACTGGCCTCTACCCAAAGCAGCAATCACCAAATTGAGATGTTTTGACCACCTACATCCTCCACGGCAATGCTGCAACTTGGAATCCCCTCGGGATTAAACGCAACCGAGCAACCCATCATGAATCCCAAAAAGCCAACAAAACAACCCGAGTCTCCTCTTCCCGGGAATTAATACCAACCTATTGTCCTGGGGCAATTGTTGGAATATTAATGATCCCCTTATCTTTCATTAAGGCTTCGAGGATGGCCGTGCTAGCAGATAATTGCTTCGTTGGCCAAATAAGTGTCTCCTACTGAGGAAGCAGAAAGAAACAGATGCTCCAAAGCTCCATCCTGGGCCTTTTTCCTTACTGCTTTGCAGAGATTCACATCCAGATGTCCTTGAAGCTTGGCAAGGAGCAAGACGTGCAAGCCTTGCTCCCATCTCACCACTTTTGGGGATGTTCTTGGCAGTCCCAAGAAGGCCAAGAAAACTACAGGCCGTGAAATATCTCTTTACGGCTTTGAGTAACTGCAGGTTTCTTCTGGCAATAATAAAACAGGTCTTAAAAGCAGCCCCAGACTTAATCCTATTACAAGAAGCCAAAAAATGAAGAAGGAGTTGTAAAATTTTACAGCAAGAAGCTCTGAACTTAAAAACACCACTAAAGATGAACTCGAGATCCACCAGTATTTCCCAGTTTCCAAAATTTGGGAGCCATTTGCTCCACGCAACCCTTGCAGCAGTTGTACAAAACCCGGATTTTTGAGAGCCGGAGCTGCTGTGTCCCTGCTCCCTTTTCCCTTATTGAAGCCATAATCCCGGTTCAGTCGCCGCTGGTTGCCATGGAAATGGTTAAATCGGAGATTGAACGGGGCGACTTCACGGGGAAAAGCAACCCAATAAGGAGCAAACCAGCCTCCAAACATGAAACCCCCTTGTTTTGGAGTCGAGCCTCCAAAAACCCCTTTACACCTGCAAAATGGCAGCTCTTTTTCATGCTTTTCTAACTGTGTTGTTTCTAAGCGAGCACAAGGATTTCTTGCCTTCAGATAACCCCAAATAACTCCAAAATAGAGGTGTTTGCCATTTTTAAATCCACCTGTCCTTGCAGTTTTGGGGAGCTGGGTGAGTGCATTGCCAGCACAGCAGGTAAATAGCAAAGACTGGTGCACGTGCTCAGCAAAAACCCCAACTTTTTAAGGCAGAAACTACAGTGAAAACAGGCAAGTTTCAATTAGATGCTGAAAGTCCGAGGGGAGGAAACGGATACTTCTGGGCAGGAAGAAGGCGACACTGCAAAGCCCAAGCACTATTTTGGGTCCTGGAGTGCTACAAGAGCCACAAATAGACTTCTCCCACCCAATCCAGGAGAAACTTCACTTCTCCCTTCCAAGCAGGGGACTATCAAAGCAGAAATCAGCTCAAAAGCGAGCAGAAGGTTTTAACTGCTCACTGCTTCCTTCTTAAATCAGAATAATTCCTTCCTCCTGTGCAGGAGAGGGACAAATCCCCCAAACCCAAGCCAAGAAGCCACCAGCGGAGCGGGACAATATTCGCCACCTTGGGAAGTGTTTTCCTGGAGGGTCCACGTTGGCTCGGGTGGGTTTGAGGAGCAGCTAAGTGGGTTAATCTGTCACCTCGGCAGCTCGGGGACAAAAGCAGAAACAAAACGCAGGGCCTCCTCACGGGGCCGGTTTCACTTCTCACGGGGGCGGGAACGGGAGCAGCTCCAAGCAGCCGCCTTGCGCTCAGGCACAAAGACCTTGCTGAAAGGTGAAGCGCTCACCCAAGCCAACAGCCTGCACGCACGGGGCTTCTCCAGCGCTGCATTTATTTAAAAAAATAAAGAAAAAAAGAAAGAAAAACATGCAGGTTAGATAAACTACGCGGGGCGGGTTTCGCAAGCGAAGCGCCCGCGCTAATTAAGCGGTGCCGCTCGGGTGCGAGACGGCCCCGACGCTGCATTTTTCAGAGCTGACGCTTAACCTATTTTTTCTGCCGTCTCTTTTTTCCCCTCTCTTCATGAATTACACAAAAAAAAAAGGAAAGCAACGCCGGGCAGCAACGCGAGCGCAGCTCCCTGCCCAGGGAGTTTCCTTCTCTTTGGCATTTGACTCTGGCGGGCAGAAGGATCTCGGGAAAGTCGCAGGCTGGGAGAGACCCCCGGGCCCTTCTCCTTTTCCTCGTGATCCAGACAACCTGGGAAGCTACCGGAGAGAGGGATGTGAAAGGAAACAGCTCGGTGACTACCAGCAGCCGTGGAGCCAAATGCTCATGTTATCTCAGCAGTGAGTTTCATTCCCTGCCCATGAACTTAAGGGATTGGAAAGCTCCAAGAGGGACATCCAGGTGGTGAAGGGAATAGAGCCCTGGAAAGCAGCTCCTCTCTGAACATCCATCCTTGTCCAGAGAGGGATATCCAGCCTCAAGAAGAAGGCGCCACGGCACTGAGAGGTCACAGGGCACCTGTTGCCCCTGTGGGACTCGGATGAAAATTCAGCTGTTGGGGGAAAAAACAAACATTTTCACACCAGCTTCAGCGCATGACGGTTCAGTCCATCTCCGTGTAGCTGCACAAGACCCAAGATCTGCTCCTGGCTCTGCGACATCAAATCCAGACCTATTTAAGGGCCAAATATGACACTCACTTCTGCAAAAACTGTCTCTCCAGCTGGGCCAAGCGGCACTGCCCGGCCACGCTTTGTGCCTGCAGCCCCATCCCTATGGAAAACTGGGATCTCCTTCCTGCAAACCGCAACCTACCTCCTTATCTCCCGAGCACAACCGCGCTGTCCGCAGGCCTCGCGCTCGGGCACCACATCAAAACCTTATCGCTTTCTTAATAAACCCCCATAAAGCAAGGCCTGAGCGGGTATTTTCTCCTCACCGTGATAACTTTCCTACGTTCTTGTCACCACAGCAACTGTTTGCTCGGGCCCTTCGCAGGGCGCTTGCAGGAACGCGCTTTGCTGCGAGGAAAGAGGAGAAACAACCGGAGGGAAACAGGTACCCGAGGAGGAGAAAGAGCGAACGGGACTGAGCAAGGGAGGAGGGCAGCACCATGGTCATCCTCCTCCCCGGGGAGGGCGGACCAAAAACTCCACATTAGAAGGGAACCAAAGCTAGGATTTGGGCCAAAGCCCCGTTTCCAGGTCGGTGGAGAAAGCCAGGGATGCACCAGGGCAGGTGGAAACCCTTCCTCCCTGCTCCAAGGGCTCAAGATGATCCGGTCCTCTCCCAAATCTCCCACGTTTTCCCTTTCCGACTGCCACTTCTGCAGTGGAAAACAGCCCTGCGGTTATTACATTCCTCAGGTTATTGCATGAGACGTCCAGCCATAAATATACATGGAATATCCCTGTGCTACGAGGTCTATTTATCATTGCAAACGCTAAATGCCGCTTTCAGAGCAAGGAGCCTTTTCTCCGCACGAGCGCTGCAAGCGAGGAGACCGGGGCTACCAGAGAGCAAGCAGGAATCCACACTCGGCAGCCCCGGCTCAAAAGCCCCACGTGCATTTGCACAACACACAAAATAACCCCAAGACGTGCGTGTCCATAGGAAGGGAAACCAGTTTAGAGGGCACTTTGGCCAGTTTGCTGCTTCCTCGGGGGATTTTCACGCAGCAAAGAGGCCGTCGCGCCAGGGCCTCGCCTGGGGGAGAGGAGCCCCCACGTCTCCCACGCGCCTTCCCCTGCTTCCCACATCAGCGGCGCCAGGTCTGTTTCCTTCCCCAGCAGGAAACCAACCCCTAGAAATCAAGTGTTTTTGGAAAACGCTCTATAAACCGTTTGCTTCTGACAGAAAAAGGGAGCAAGCAGAAACACAGCATCGGTTTTCAACATCTTCTCGCTGCTTCTAGCGCTTCCCCAAGCACAAAACTCTCCAAACAGCCCCAAACCACCCGGATTTTTAGCAGCACAACCTAAGCTTTAAGGCCAGACCATTTTCTCCACGGAGCCAGGGGCGTTCCTGCTGTTTCCTTACGCCTTTGTTTCCCACCAAGGCACGGGAATAACGTGGAGCCGCAACACGGCGCGCTCGCGGGCACCAAGCCACGGGCGTCCCGAGAGACCCGGGAGCAGCAGCAGATCTAAAGGCAGAAATAAATAACGTATCTTTGGATACGCGAGCTCACGGGAGCGTGTCTGAGGCTGCCATCTACGTCGCTTCCCTGTTTCCAAGCTCCTTCTTCCAGCTGAAATCCGTTTAATACGTTACCCTTGAAACGTCCGCGCTTCACGAGCCGAACGGGAGGGCGATTTGCATTTGCTGTGTGTAGGGAACTGACGGGAATTAGGAAAACAATGTCAAACCCGAGTTAAAAATAAATTTTTTAAAAAAAATGCTACTAGAAGTTACCAAACCTGAATAAATAAAAAGCTCTTCAAGCTTCAAATCCTGAATGTGAAAGGTAGTCAAACACTTGCATGGAAAGAGAAGTTCCAGGCCAAGCTTAATCTCTGGTATTTTTCAACATCTTGACTTTAAACACGAGGTACTAAGTCGAAGAGCTCAGGACTCTGCTGATGTCGCCTTCCCAGCGGCAACTGCCTGATATTTCCTTCGAGAAGGGATGCAAAGGAAATTCCTGCAGGGATTCCCACCTCTCCTTGCACCGGGATGAAGCTGGTCAATGCGGCCAGCAGCTAGGGAGGAGAGGAGGAGCAGACACGCAGCCACACAGGTTTTATTTTCAATAGAAAAGGAAAAAAGATACAAAGATACGTACATATTTTTAACAAAAATTCCTCCCCAGAGCAAACTGTTTATATTTATGACACAATTGCTCTATCAGGATACCTAAACCAGATAAAAGGCCTGAATTCTGCCCCCAATCTTTGACGAGCACCGTTTTCCCTATAACGGACAAGCCAGAAATCTGGTTATCTTCCAAGAAAATATTTCTATATTTTTAACGGACGCAAGCTCCAAATTATTCAGTGCTTCCAGATGTATCCCAGGACCTGTTTGTAAAGCAAATAGGGGAAGAGCCACCAGGATGTGGCCATTTCAAGGCACTTGAAGCCTGGAAATGGTCACGCTGCAGCCGAGCGAGGCGTCTGTCCCGCTCCAAAACAGACACAAACACATCGGAAAAACTGCCTTCAAGGGCACGCGGGACACCAGCCTCTATCAACACACGTAACGATGGTTAATTATCAACTTGCTCGTCAGAAGGCTGTCGTTATGGGAACCTCGCATGCAGGCAGCTCGGACTAGGATCTCCGGAGGTCCCTTCCAACCCCAACCCCTCTGGGATCCTCTGCATTTCCCGTGCAATGAGGTTTTACCTTCAGAGCACTCCCAATCCCTCTTCCTAGGAATTTCTGAAGGTTTCTAGGTATCGGGCGACTGATTTTCTTCCACATTCGCCTTCTGCTGTTACAGATGGATCTTTTGGGGTACAAACCCAAGGACAAAGGAGGTTTTTGGGGGCAAGATCACGCAGAAACTAAAAGGGAAGGTTTTGCTGCCCTTCGCCAGCTGAGTCCATACGGATAAGGCAGTAAAAATGGTTTCAAATGATAACCTATCATTCAGGGAAGAATCCCAGTGGCTAAAAGCACTGACTGGTACCCCAGGGCTCTCTGAACACGTTTAAAAACAGGAGTTTTAGACGAGTTTTCCCTCTCAGAGGGGATAATGGCGCAGAAGGACAAACCACACGCACGGCTGAGAAGGGACAGGGACGAAGCTGCAGTCCGGGCAAGCGGGTGTTTAATTTTGCAGGCACAAATTAACTTTGCCCACAGGTTTTGCAGCAACCTGGAGCCCCGGGGACGCTCAGCAGCAGCTGCAGGACATTTTGCATCGATTGTTCCTGTCGTTATTTCTTTTTAAAGAAAAGAACAGTTGCAAACTGAAGATCCCGGTTAGACAACTCAAAAATGTGCTTTTTGTCAGAAGGGGAAGCAATCTTCAACGTGCCAACAAGTTGGGGCGGGGTTTGCAATAAAACGAGCTTGATTACTTGCTGCTGAAGGGGAATTTTATTTGAATTTGGGGGGAAAACAGCCTCTCTGACACAACAGCCTTGAAACTGGGAGCTTTGCTGGTGGCAGGGCTGTAGATTTAACCCAGCGTTGGCTCCCACGGGGTTTTCAACACGTCTGTATAAGCAAGTGTTGGCTGACGTCTCTCAGATGTAAATCATTCCTGGAGCGGAAGCCATCACACAGTTTTGGGTGAAAAAAAGGTCTGTCTGGGACTGCTGCTCCAGAGACACCTTGGGATGGTGCAGGAGGTCGCTCCGAGATAAAATAAGATCAGATAAAATAAATCAGATCAGTAACTAGTGCTTTTAGTTGCACAGTCACGACAAGTGAAGGAAGGAGCAAAGCACCGGGCACGAGGGGTAGTTTATTTATAGAGAGAATTGCAAAACACAGACGAGCTTCGACAGCCAAAACAGGCTCACGAACCAACGCGAGAATATAGAAAAAGACAAAAAACACTCAGGAAACACTGTGCTCTAAAAGCCCACGGCTCCCCCACATTTTTAGACCAATACAGACTTTATAAACCACAAATTCAACCTGGAAGGCAGGCCAAGAGAGCTGTGAAATCGCACACAAGCACAGCACAATTATTTCGGGTTTCTTGCAGTTTTATCTCCACAAGAGAGCATCCAAATTTCAAAGGGGGGGTTAAGAAATGAATGTAGATGAGCAAGATTTTGAAGCACTAAAACACACAAGCTAAGGACGCTTGATTCCATGACAAACCACACAGTTTTTTTCTGTTCTCTTTAGTTCACGCTTACTAGAAATACATTTAAAAAAAGACTAAATTGAGAACTGATTCAGGTTACATGATACAGATGCTTAAATTCCTCTAGTTTACTGCATTTTCCTTTTAGCACCAATAAAAAACTAGTTTTTCCTCCATCCAAGCTCATCACTCACAATTGCAATAAAAATCACCAGGCAAAACAGCCAAGTTTCCTGGATGAAGACTGACCCTATCAAAGCTTTTTGGAAAACAAATCCTTAAGCTTTTTAGCTCCGACACAGAATCTACCCTAAAATCCCAGCTCCAACCACCCTGCGGAAAAGCTTCTTGCCGCAAGGAACGTTTTGAAATGACCCTTGGATTTCACTCTGGGGGACAGGGGGAAGCAAATGGATTTGAGGATGGTGCTTGGAATTTCGTCTGGATCGGTCCCTGCATGGGGGGGAGCAGAGCAGGGGCTCGGATGGAGCTTTGGGATCCCTCTCCCGGCTACTTACGGGAATCCTTCTCCAAGCTCCCACACGTTTCCCTGCTCTTACTGGCTGATCTAGATATTCCCTGTTGAAATAACCCCCAAATCCAGGGCTGCAGCAACAAGTACGATGCAAAGCCCGCCTTTATGCAGCTCCCCTTGAGCCCGGCCGGGGTCGGGCAACGGAACCTCCGCTTCAGCCTCCTAACGAGGCCCTAAAGTCCGCATTAAACAGGGGCTGAACCGAGATGACAACGGGACGGCACAAAAACACCGGAGAGGAGCAAGGGGGAGTCTGAGGGGGGCATGGGGGACCCCGAGACGAGTCCCAGGGAGATACCCAGGGCAAGCGGCCCCCAGAGCCCTCTGCTCCAGCAGCCCCCGGCCCTCCCGCGGGGTGCGGAGCTGGGAACCATCCCGACCCCCCGGAATTCCCAGTTCCTCAGGCTCAGCTGCCTCCCCACCCCCCAAGGCTCCTCAGCTCCTCTCCCAGGATATCCCCTCACCAAGGGGGGGCTGCTCTTTGCATCACACCCCCCTGCCCACCCTGGGGGTCCCCTCCCTGCCCCCGATCCTCCTGCTTTTTTGCAAACAGCCCAAAAACAGCTCCCCACCCCCAACTGCCCCCCCACAGCCCCCCCAGAGCCTGTGGGCCTGGAGCCCCCCCTTTTCCACCCCCCCC